AACGGTTTTGCCCGCTTTGCATATTCATCAGCCCTCGCACTACTAGCCTGCCTCCCAGCGAACCGGGCCGCAATGCCCTGCATGATCACGGAGCCCCGGAACGCAAAGAACGCATCGCCCCACGCCACGTCGGAGCTCGTTTCGTACCCAGACGTTTCGGCGTACCAGCCAATGCACTCCTCGCGCCTTGGTAACCCTGGAACAGCCCCCGGCGCGAACTGCGACAGTTGGCTGTCCCCACCGTCCATTATGTACGGACTTGTCAGGTTGCAGAAGTCCGAGAGCGGATGTCCTACGGTCGCCATTTCCCAATCTAGAATTCCAATCACGCGCGGCTCTGTCTTGTGGAAGATCAGGTTGTCGATTTTGTAATCGCCGTGTACGAGTGTGCCCCGGTCCAGTGGTTGCGTGCTCTTTTGAGCGAAGAATGTCACCATGTCGTTGAAGTAGGGTAGTTCGCCGACGGGTTCTTTAGTATCGGCATCGACGACTGCCGCTTGGGCTTTGGAGATTGTCTTGAATGTGGCGATTTGGCGGTCAAAGAAGCCTGTCGGCTTGCCGAAGTTTTCAAGTCCGACGCTTTTGGGAACTACGTTGTGGAACTTCGCGAGCGTTTGTACTGCATTCTTCCAGCTGGGTGCTTATCAGTATATGCGGGGCCACTGGGGGTTGTGTTGGTGGCTGCGTTGGAGCCTCAATCGTGTGACGTACAGTTCTCTCCTCTCCTCCCCGCCTACTCCTGGCATCACTGGGTCGGTGAAATGCCGCCCGTCCAGGAACTCCATGATGTAGAATGCGGTTCCAATCACGCTGTCATCTTCGCACAGGCAGTACGCTTTGGGAACAGGTACATCGGTATCCCCCAATGCCTGGATAATCTTGTACTCACGCTCGACCTTGTGAGCTGTCTTCGAGAGCAGCTTGCCAGGGGGCTTCTTGCGCAGAACAACCTGCTTGCCATCTGTGGCAGTAAGAAGATAGGTAGGGTTTGATTGACCGAAGCCGAACTACAGTAACAGGATATTAGTTGGCCTATTGATATAGCATGCTGATTTGGTGGTTGACGGGCCAGACTCACCTGCTTCACATCAAGTGGAGTCTGAACCTCAGGCACATTCTGGTCAATGTACCTCTCCAGCGAGGGGATATCTATAGGCTGGCGGACTTCACCCGCCATGATGTTGAAGTGAAATAAGGACAATTGTTCAAAAAGCGTATGTATTTTGCGAACTGTCCACGGGGTTCAAGATAGTATGTACAGGGATGCAATAAATGCCTTGGTGTCCAGGTGTAACCGGGGGACCTCGGCACCAGCACCTCCTCGGTGTCACCGCTGAGAGCGGGGAGGAAACAAACAGAGCAAACACCCGACGCGTCCCAGCGGTGAAACGCGCAGGCGTCTAAACTCACCGCAATTTTTGTGAAGCTAGGGGCTTTCTTGCGTTAGCCAATTTACTGTGGGCCCTGTTATTTTTTTCCCAATTAATTGCTCTATCCACTCTCTCGATTCTCGATCTTCGATTCTCCAACCATTTTGTGTTACCATGACCAAAGAGACCACCCCACCACCACAAGAGAAGTCCCTCCCCGCGCATAATCCGCCTTCCTTGCCTGCCTCCCCGCTGCCGAAACGATCAAAGCCCGACACAATGACTACCCCCGCCGTCACATCGATCCAGCAGCAGCTGCCCCCGCTGCTTGTGAAGAAGCTTGTTGAGTCTGCCCAGGCCCCGACACGCGGCTCGGCTTTTGCTGCCGGGTATGATATCTACGCCGCAAAGGAGACTGTTATCCCCGCCAAGGGCAAGGGCGCCGTTGATACTGGTATTGCTATTGCTGTGCCTGAGGGAACTTGTATGTGACTATACTTGTGATTGAGATTGAGATTGCGATCATTGGCGAAGCTCTCTGCTTGATGAGGCTGAGCTTGGTTAGGAGTGGACAGGATACTAATGGGGAATATAGACGGCCGTATTGCTCCCCGTAGCGGTCTTGCCGCTAAGCACTTCATTGACACCGGCGCTGGTGTCATTGATGCCGACTACCGCGGTGAGGTCAAGGTGCTTCTGTTCAACCACTCTGACGTCGACTTCCCTGTCAAGGCGGGTGATCGTGTTGCCCAGCTGGTTCTGGAGCGGGTAAGTGCAACCTATCAATAATGTATGTTATATGAATATGTCTGACCTGTTCTAGATCTACACCCCCGAAGTGAGTGTTGTCGAGGAGCTGGAGGAGAGTGTCCGTGGTGCTGGTGGTTTCGGCAGCACTGGCATCTAAGGGCCATACCTCTGTACAAAATTGGGAGGATGACGGACAAAAATTAGATGGGTTCTGTTAAAAAGAACCCAGTTACGATTACATGCATTCGAGACATTGTTTGAATGAATAGAACAGACAAAAAAGATTCCATGCTTGATTCAATAATCAAATCTATGTACAGACCAAACCGGCTTTTGATATAGAGATGGCCACCGACCCGGCTTTCTAATGGCCCCGAAATCCTTCTATCATCCAATCATGCCACATGCAAAATATATAGACCCCAGCCAAAATCACCGCAGATCCGCAGGAAGATCCTCCTTCTTCCAATCCAGCACTTTAAACATAATCTTCGGATCCCGCAAAACCCGTGTATTTCTCACAAGCCTAACCTCAGCAGCCTTGGTCCTACGCAAATAATTCCTCTTCTCCAAATCCTCCGCCGACGCCTCTCCGTCTAGCGCAGGCACAGCAATCGCTAGCTCTGCATCACGACTCTCCAGCGTCCGCTCCAGAATGCTATGCATACTCGACAGGACCTTGATAGTCGCTCTAGCCAGCGGAAGATCCGTAGCGGCAACGTCATCGGGCGAAACCCACGACTTGGTTGTGCGCAGGCCATCAACTGCGGAAACGGCTTCGCTTAGCCGCGCGACAGTCAGAGCTGCGAACATGTCGCCCGTCCCGCTGAAGAAGCAGTCCAGCGCCGGTACGTCGACGCGGAAGAGCCGCGGAGACCCGTCGGAGCGCGTGGTTGAGCCGATTACTGTTAGGAAATTCTCTGGTGGCGGTGGGGTTGAGCCTGACTGGTCGAGCTTGAAGAGTTGCACTGAAGTGATTATCACGTGCGGAACTGAGTAGATCCTGTGGATGGCTGTTACTGCTGAAGCGAGGGTTGCTAGTGATGTTATTTTGATGCCGGAGAGAGTCCTATATTATTAGTCCGTGTGGGGTATCTGTCTGAGTATGGAGTCTGGCTTACTCGGCTTCGAACTGGTTAGGCAAAATCAGGTCCGCAAAGGGGATGATTTTCTTGTATGCGGGAACTACATCATCATTGACATATAGCCGGCCTTGATCGCCCATGACTGGGTCCAGGACTAACATGATAATCAGCGTTTGTACTGTGGACGAATAATGAGTGTTTACTTACCCCAGAAAAACGACCCGGGCTTCTTCTCCGCCTTTTCCTGCAGGTCAATGCCGATAGTGCCTACTGATTCCACGGCTGCTGCACTCGGAGCGTAACCCGATAGCATGACATCGAAGTCTGTGAGATTACTCTGGCACAGGCCCTGGTAGAGGTCTGAAATTTCCTGCGCGGTGGCACGAGTTCCCTTAAATTGGCGGTAGCCTGTATGGTTACCTGCAATTGCATGTGAGTCAGGGTTGGACTGTCAAGATCGGGCTACAACATACTGAAGTGGACGGTGTTCAAGGCGGCAACTTCACAGCCCAGGGATTGCATGACGAAGGTTGCCATTGTGTTTCCGACATGGCTGATGAGAAGGGTGTTAGTTATTGAATCCAATGGTGTCTTCTAGATATGATAACGCGGGTTATCAGACTTGCCACATACCCGTACACTACCTGGTGGGGGTGTTAGTTTATAATTTGAGAAAGTGGCCAATTTCACTTACATGGCTGGCAACAGCCAGAACTCTGGTCTCAGGTACTAATGAATCCATCATTTAGAGAATTGAATTGAAGAGTAAAGTGAGTCTATCAACTTCCATATGCTATGACTCTGTGTGGGGGCCGGGGGGATGATTTACCGAATTTCCACTTACCTAATTGGCTCCGAGAACCGAGTTCGTTATCAGAGACTGTTCAATTGAAAATATGTAATTACATATAGTTATATTGTGAGTTAGTGTGATATAGTGTAGATGTACGTAAAACCATAGAACCAGATATACTATGATCTATCAATATTTGGACTCGACCCAAGTCCCTATAAACCCTGCCTCGTGCTAAATCTCCTTGCTTCCAAGGTTGACCGGACTTAAATTCCACCATCTCCATCATCCTTCAGTTTCAAAATGATCCAAGAGTCTCCGAAGGATACCGAAACCAGTCAGATGGGAAATGGTGGGGGAAAAAAAAAAAATAGAGAAACAGAAAAAAGGCAAAGCCAAGTCGATATGCCTTTCCCTCCCATACTCCGACCCTAGTATATATGTACTATATAGGTAATGGATCTACTCTACTATACTCTGTATACTTCGACAATATAGCATAGATACATCCAGACATTTGAGCACATACCCTGAGCTGAGTTCCACCGAACGGTCTAGTTCGTGCTAGTGGTACTTCGGAGAACATTAGCGCATTGGCACACGTTCTCGGCCTTCTCGGCCGTGGTCTTTCTAAATATGAATGCCTGACAACTAAAAAAGTCCGATTTTAGGCTTTTCTCTAACTTCCAGGGTCAAGGTTAACGGGTACCCTCGTGCATTTTGCAACTTCAACTTCAACATCTCCATCTCCGAGGAAAAATATCACCTCAGTCACTCCTTCCAATGAGTTCATGATCGCCGTTATTTTCCTAATTCGCATAATGTTGGAATAAACACTTCTTTGTTTCCCAACTCCTAACTACAGCGTCTGTCACTCGTTAATATACAAAGACTGCCCTTGCACAGCTATCTCGCTTACTTGCTGGCCCTGATAATTCATACTTGAGATACTTGAACGTTGATGTCTTCGTCTCGATCTCAAGTCGACAATACTACGCCAAAATGTCTCGTCTTTACCATATCTACAACCTCCTAATCCTAATCACTATTCTCTGTCTATCACCAACATGGGCCCAATCAATGGAATCTACAGACCTGTCCGTGCCACAATCGACCTGGCGCCCAAGCGAAGAGCTCACAAATTGTCAACCACTACAAGCACCAGAGAAAACCACAGTGCACCGACGAACAATCGTCACGGCATCGGACACCGCAGAAGGAATACCCCAACCCTTCGACACACTCTCCTACAACTTCGCCAAAGCAAGCACCTGCATCGACTTCTACACAAAATGGCGCGCCAACACAACAATCTCATCCTGCACCCCCATCTCCCTCCTCATCCAGAACTCAAACGCCTTCTTCCACACCCTCAACTCAGCACCCGCCACATCGCACATCCTGGATACGTCCTGCTCAGCAAGCGTCACCAAGTGCGCCTCAATAATGACAAATCTCGCAACCGACCTCCTCAAACCCGAGAACTGCGGCGACGACTTCGAAAACGGTAACTTTGTCGTCAAAGGCACGTATCGCGATCTCATCGCTTACGAACCAGTCTACCGCGCAACCTGTCTCACGAACCCATTGACACAGGATTACTGTTTCGTCGATGCGGTGTCGAATTCCACTGCGCCTGATGACTACAATGTGTACTTGATGCCGCTCGGGACCCCGCTTACTGTCGGGGATGTGCCGAGTTGTACAAAGTGTTTGAAGGCGACTATGGATGTGTTTTCGGAGTGGGCGAGACGGGATGGTCAATCGCTTGGTATTACTTATCTTCCCTCGGCGAGGATTGTCAATGCGCATTGTGGTGAGGACTTTGCGACTACTAATATCACTGTTGGTTCGGCGGATGTTACGGCTGGGGCGGGTGCTGTCCCGTTGCCTAATCTTGGAATTGTTACTGTCATGACTTTGCTTCTTGGTGCCATGACAGGCGTGGTTTAATTTGAATAGTTCTGTCTGTTCTTGTTCATACACACTCTCTTTTCTTTATCTTTTGAGGTCTTTCTACCCGGCTGGGTATGGCCATGGTTGATGTCAGCGAGCGCGTTTTTGGCTTTCTGATCTGATATGTATCTAATTCCTAGTGATATTGTCCATATTCTGTAGCAGTTTATTCACTCTGTTGTTTTCTTATTTATCTCCCGTATTAGGATTTGACTAGACTCGTTTATATTGTCTTTGTTAAACCTCCGAGATTCGCTAAAATGACCGGGTCAATAATTTATTCCTCAGACGCCAGACACTATATGAGTATTCAGAATATCCACAATATAAACACAAATAAACATCTGAGATCATGATTCGAGTGCGTATAGTTCGTCACGTATGAAGAATTTGGCAAAGCAACAAAACAAGTAAAAACGCTCACTGACAAGAAAATGTTATGGAAAAAATAGATCAACACAAAACATCATCAGCTCCTTCTCTTCATCCCACCTCCCATAGCAACACCAACAAGACTCTGTGGCTCACCCCCAAAGCTAGCCCCAGGACTCGTAGGAACCGGCGACCCGCCACCAGAAATAGGACTCTGTGTAGCGGCATCTCGTTCACGTTTGACACGAATATATCCCAGCTTCGCGAAGCGGCCAACATGCGCCCAGAAATGGCGACCCGCTGGGTGTGTGGCAATGCGGTCGAGAAGATCGGTTGTCGCTTCGCGGACGACCTGGTCCGGGTGGAACAGGCCCATGCTAATATAGAAGAGACCGGCCTGATTCTCCGGTGCGACGGTTAGGAGCTGGCAGATGCCGGCGTAGTCTCTAACAGAGTGGGAGAGAGCGAGGTAGATAGAGGCAGCTTCGGAGTGGGAGAGTTTTAAGGCGCGGAGACGGTCGTGGTGGTGGTGAATGTCTGGGCGTTGGATTGGGCGCGCGGGGAAGTACATTGCTGCGATGTCTTGGATGTAGGAGTAGTAGGAGCGGGTGTTGCGCCAGCCTTCGATTCGGGAGACGGAGGCTGAGAGCTCGCGCTGTTTGGCTGCTTCATCTGTCCATACGTATCCGTGCCCGCGGAGAGTTGTTGGATCTGATGCGTCGCTTTGGTGGCCCGTTGGGCTGTCTGGGGAGAGCTCTTCGCCGGGGCCGATGATGTAGAGGTTTGAGGCGCCGTAGACTGCTTCTTCGAAGGCCGCGGCGACGCGGACGAATTTTGTTATGTAGGCTCGCCATTTTGCGCGGAGTGCATTCTCGCCGTGGCGTTGGCTGATGCTGCGGAGGATGTCTTCCATGAATAATGTGTCGCCTGTTGGGTCTTGGGTCGTATGGGATGCATTGTTGGGTAGGAGGGAATTCTGCTGTTGGAAAAATAGAAGCCCTTCTGTTACCGGTGCATGTTCGACGTGACTTGAGATCTTGATGCGACCTGTGGGGAGGTCGCACAGAACGTCCCACCATTCAGGATGGTTGGCAAAGGTAGGGTTTGTGACTCCTGCAATAAACCCAGGTACCTTAAGGAGATCGTCGATCTTGGACAGATCGGTATAAGGGAATGCGTGTCGAGTAAATCCACGCAGAATGCCACCGGATGCAAGAGCACAGGCTGCCAGCACCGCCTCTGCAACTTCCCCCGATGGTCGGTTGTGTCCTAGAAACACCACTCGCTTCTGGGTGAGGACAGCGTTGACAAGAACAATAACGGGATGTGTGAATGATCCGCTGGTTGTCAAATGGGGATGCGCTGGGAAAGCCTGGGGGGATGTGGCATGTGGCACGGCGAACGTCTGAATGAGCTTGATGAGGGAAAAGTCTCCCACGGTCTCTGGCCAAATCACCGTCGGAATTTTGACAGGGATAGGAATATCATTGTAGACCACTTTTGACTCGTACTCATGTGTATCCCGTGGTAGGACGTATCGGCTTACTCTCTTTGGTGACGGCGGACATTCCCCATCCTGGTGTTCTTCTTCTTCCCGCTGGCGGATCATTTGCTCGAATTTCTCCAGGAACATATCCTTTGCGTTGCTAGATTGTAAGATATGGCGCTCAAGCATCGACATTTTCGGCATTAACGAAAGGTCCATGGCGTTGACGGCGTCATAGAGGGATGCCAAAGTTTCGGGGAATGGAGATTTGAAGTAGTCCTCTAGAGCTAGGAGGAGTAAAGGCTGTATAATAGTCAGAATTGCCTGGATGCTAGGGCTAGGAGTAGCATAGTAGCTTACTTTGTAAATGTGGAGGAATGAATGTCGCGTACAGATTGCCATTGCCTTGACGACAGCACCTCTATTTACTGTTAGCATTCGCACATTCAGTCAAGACAGTGCGACTCACCTTCGGACAGTGTTATCCTGCTTCGTGTTGACAAGATTCAGCACATACATCAAGGGTGGCCCTTCACCACCCTCGTCATCGCTGCTGTCGGGGTCATCGGAGAGCTCGTCTTCGGTCTCATCCTGAATATCGGCTCCTTCCTGGTTTGCATGGTATTGTGATTTCCGCTTTCTTTTCTTCTTCCCGCCCGCTGAATCCGTCTCTTCGTCGCCACTGGTGTCTTTGTGTAAGAAGAACATGGTCCAGTCCTGACTCCGCACATGCGTCTGATCCGGCAGCATCAGCTCTGCAAGCATGCTCTCATCTCCGCTAATTGCAGCGGGATATTGGTGCTCCATGATCGGACCCCGATCAATATGGAAGGACGCAACCAGGATGTATTCCACATGGCGCTCCGGCGAGTCGAGCGGGTACTGTGCTTTACAGCGCCGTGGCCTGAAGCCTGAGGTCGCATTATCTGTAGATATTCTTCGAAAAGAGCCATGTGAACTGCTGGGCGAGCGACCAATAAAGGAGGCTGCAGGCGACAGCCGAGGAAGACCGCTTGTTTGGCGATTATTCGAGGCGGAGAGGGAGTCGTTCGACGGTCGATATGGTAATGTTGTTGCCATCTTCTGGGGGTTTCAGTAGAGAGGATTGCTCCGGGCAAAGCTATAAATCGAATCGCATACCGCGGGCACAAGAAGCACAGGAAGCACAAGAAGCACAAGGGCCAATGATAATAACAAGTTGAATTAATTGACCAGAATTAACTGTTCAGGGGTTAAGAGGGGTTAAGAAAAAGGACGATTTCTCCACAGTGGAGTGACGATAAGGACGATAAGGAGATCCATAACATTCCCAAGGTTGAAACCTCCAGATCTATCAGAATGCAATCTCCTTTTTTTTGTATTTCCTTACATTGTAGATCTTTCTATTTATATATTGAAAATTGACATGTCGAATGATTTCCTATGAAGTAGGGAGTAGAATATTGCTGGCAAGAAACCCTGCGGCCTTGTGATGTCTTATTCAGTAGTCTTTTAGGTCATGTTGCTGGTAGTGTTGTTGTATAATATTTAGATGTCATCTTTTAGATGTTTTCGTTCCCTCAATTCTACATGTATATGGCGTAAAAAAGGCATGTAATGTGCACCGACTTTTCTATGTACAACCAGGGACCAGAGATGTGACGAGTATGATTTCTTATAGATCTATGCACACTTCAAATTTCTGCAACAGCCAGTGAACTAGGATTTGCTCTGTATAGATACCATGTATAGAAATTATATACCTATTTATCAAGGTTAAAACTTCAATATTAAAATCAAGGATACAATATACAGAGGATCAAACGTGTGTTCATGTAAATAACATGGGGCGGTGGGAAAGACGGTGGCAGAATCATGTTGTTGTGCCAGCCCGAGGCTTGTTTACACCTGGGCATCGATAAGCAAACCTTCGTCATAGGCTGTTTACAATTCATAATTCAACTCACACACGATTTTCACCATGGTAAGTCAGATTTTTGATGATCTGCCGACTTGAGATTAATCAACAATGATCTAGGCCAATAACCCCACATTCAAACCATCGCCGTTATCCTTTGGGTCGCCGAGGGCATCCCCATTCCGGCGTCCGTCTACTCCAAAGTCCCCGCCCTCGGCCACTCGCACAGGAGGCACACCGGGGAGCTCTCCTAACCGGGCATATACACCTATGGTGTCTCCTAGCAAGCTCAATCAATCATATACAGTGGAGGATGGTGAATCGCGTCCTCCGAAGAACGAGCGGCCCATTCCCCAGCCGAACTTTGGCAGAGAGCTCTCTCCTTCCCCAACAAAAGGAGCGCGGTCGCCGGGCAACTTATCCCCGATTGGGACAAGGAGGAGTGGCTTTGTAGCCCCATCTAGCGATGCGGCTGGAAAGCTATCGGCGCAACAAGTGAGGGAGATCAGAGAAGCTTTCCAGGTTCTCGATCGGGATAACGATGGGCTTGTGGACAAAGATGATGTGATTGATGTTTTGACAACTTTGGGTAGGATAAAATCCATCAACATATTTTATTTTGGAATTGGCGTGAACTAATCGGAGTGTTTGAACAGGCCAAGACTCATCCTCCTCCACACTCTCGCGTTTCTTCCCACCAGGATCAGACCAGACTATGAACTTTCCAACCTTTTTGAATACACTTTCTGGGTTGATGGCATCAATGTCACCTTCCCAGGAGCTCCTCAACGCTCTTGCTGCGTTCGATGACGAGGACAATGGGCAAATCGACGTCGCTGAATTACGGGATGCTCTATTACATACCTCCCCAGAAGACGGAGAGGAACGATTGACCGAAAGAGAGATTGATGAAGTCTTCAATGGGTTTATAGGGCGCCCGGCATTTATAGGTCGGGGAGCGAAGTCAGGCGGGATGGGTAAGAGGGGCGAGGTTTTCCAGTACCACGACTTTGTGCGCAGCGTCATGGGTGGAGAGAATGGAAATAATGCGAAACATGAAGGAGATGCAGCACGGGTATGAAGTGCTATCATGAATATGGGTTTCAATTGAGGGCGTTATGGGCAATTGGCAGATTCCAAGGCCGTAGAAGCAAAGATCAGACTATACAAATCTTGTCATGAATGATCATGTACCATTAGTTATTCAATTACCAATGGCCATTTTTGGTAGTGAACCAAGTAAATATTAAGGTGGAGCTATTTACGGAAGTAGAGCCAACACCTTCCGCATTTCATCGGCAGAAAAGCTCCAGCCACCGCGATCTGATACACTCCACCCCGTCAACTGCGCTCATCTTACCCCGTTTCCCAAAGATGTCTGCTCGTGGCCCTCCAATGCAGACTTGATTACAGAAATATGGCCAAACCTCAGCCCTCCTGGGCTCTCGGTGTCCCGGGCCCCGACACACCCGCATCACCGCGAACCATGCGAACCCTCCGAAAGATACAATCCCACCAAGTGCTGTCAACCTCCAGCGCGCTCATTGCCCAGACTCAGGCCTCTGACCAAGCTGCCTCCAATGAAGCTGGCCCTGGATCTGCAACTCGAGCGCGCGCACATCGCCGAGCTCGATCAAATAGCGACGCGGCTTCTCGTGAAGCTGCAGCAACACCACCTGCGTCTCAAAGACGACCAGCGCGGAAAACAGGGTCGGGAATTGGGGTAAAGCGCTCGCTATTGGAGACTTTTTTGCGCGATGGACCGCAGAGTTCAAATCCCCACGAGGGACTGCGAGAGCTTAAATACCTCGTCCTATCCAGCAGAGTGGACGCTGACGGAGATGGCATGGTGAGGGGTACTCAGTCTGTTTTGCAAGATTAACGTCTAACACTTTGCAATGATAGTCGCCATACCGAATCTACCTCTGGTTGGTCCTCCTCGACGTTCCTCCTATGCCCACCGATGACTACCTTGCTCTTATCCACCGCGGCCGTTCTCCCGCTTACGCCAAAATTCGCAATGATACCTTCCGCACACTAGCCACAGACCCTCTCTTCAAACGCCGAGTTACGGAGGCAAGCTTGATTCGGCTCCTCAACGCTGTGGCATGGAAACTCCACGACGCCAGGCCGAAACCCCGGTCTCGACCGTCATCATCTCGACGCCGTGAGATGGAGCTTAATGCGCCACCCAGCATTGCAGAGGAGTCCCCTTTTGGTGGGGAACTTGAGAAGGTCACCAATAGTAATACAAGTGATTCGGCCATGTACGTCCAAGGCATGAATGTCTTGTGTGCGCCGTTCCTCTATGCTGCCCGTAGCGAGGTGGAAGCCTTCGCTCTGTTCCATTACTTTGTCACACGCGAGTGTCCAGGTTATATCCGTGGTGCTATGGATGGAGTGCACAGGGGTCTTCGCTTGGTTGATCGATGTCTTGAGATTGTGGAGCCCAAGCTTGCAGCATATCTGTTCTCCAAGGGTATGCATGCCGAGCTGTACGCATTCCCATCGGTGTTGACCTTGTGTGCTTGCACGCCTCCATTGCCAGAGGTGTTGCATCTGTGGGATTTCTTGTTTGCGTATGGGTCACACCTGAATATTCTGTGCATTGTCGCCCAGCTAATCCGTATGCGGGACCTAATTTTCGAGAGTCCGAGGTAAGTTCCGCCTGTTATTTGGCCGCCTGTTATTTGGATTACTTTGGCAAAAGACTAACTTGAGTATAGCCCAAACAAAATTCTCCGCTCATTCCCTCCCCTCAACGCAAAGGAGATCATTGCTTTGACAGTTCTCCTTGTCCGTAAGATCCCAGAGGACCTTTACGCAGAGATGATTAACCATGCAAAATAAACATGGCTTGGGCTCACTGAGAAGCTCTGACGGGAAAAGAAATACATGACATACTACCTGGGTTTCATAGCGGCGTTTTGATATGATTTGATCGCAACGATTGGGTAATGGTGACTTGGATGGGATATGAGACATACATTGACGAACCAAGATAACACGCTTGTTTGAACGAATTGATGATTGTACACAAATATTAGTTTTTGAGAATGCACTTCAGTTGAGATATGATCCCTTTTGGAATTACAATGCCTTGAAACATGCAGCTTCCCTCGTTTGTCAGACAAACCCTACTTTTTTTTCGGTTCTCTAAGTCAAGAGCCCGTGGACAAAAATAGGTTGACATTGCCTTCTAATTCAGATCTTCACATATGCGGAACATGGCATCAGCTTGTACACTTCCAAGGTTGTTTGCCACAAATGAAAAGACAAGAAATGATGACAAAAGCATACAAGGCCATCTTCATTGATGATACATGATTTAGAATCCTTTTATCATATGCATTATAAGTATGACCCTGTAATTGATCACTAGTTCTTCTTCAATCCATCCTCAAAGTAATCAATGTCGGCCCTAGCAACATCGATAGTCCTCGCCACATCTATTCTTCTAGTGGTATTATGGGGCAGGTCACATAAAGCCCATTCCACATCAAATGACCTAGCAATATGCCGCCAAATCATTGCCGGCGTCTTGAAACACAAAGCCCAATCGAATATCCTCTCACCTCACCAAGCCAAAGCACTCGCAAATAAACATCTTCCAATCGCCTTCGGAATCGATAATGCCTTCACTCGCAGAGACAGTGTCCACGCCAGCATGTTCGTCGAAAAAGTCAAACCCATGATCAATCTATCGGCGGAGCAGTGGCACAGCGTATCCGAGTTCGCGAGTCACGACCAACCACTGGATCGAGCATGGTTTCCCCGGTCTAGATCATAGCTGCGGTGACAGCTCTCACAAAGAACAGGACAAGGCCCGAAATAAGATCAGTGTCAACCGCAATTGGATAAAGGTCGCCAGTTTGGCGCAGATGCTTTCATTGAAAGTTGTATTATGGCAGATATTCGGCCAAAAGACCCAAGATAAAACATGCGAAGAGAGTCTTCTGAATCTAGCGCAGTCTATAAATCGAGTGTGGATATCTTCCAAGGTAGAATCTAACGACAACGATATCCCCAAATTCGAAGACGACGATTTACTCCAGACGTCGTTGGAGAATATCTTTGGGAGACATGATCGTCCAGAGGATAACCCACTAAATCTAATACTGCCTTCATTCGAGACCATGTGGCGTGTCGTCTTACGGGCTTTCCTGGAAATCAAGTTCGCGGGTGGGAAAGAAATACCTGCGTGGCGGGAGACGATGATTGCTTTTGCTTCTCGGCCTACCAAATCCCAATTCGACACAGGCTTTGGACCCCCTTCTAGTCGCTCCAAACCTCAATCTAGCGATGATCCCGGCATAGGTAATACGCGCGGTGTTCAGAGGTCACCCAGTGCGAATTCCATAGTTCGTGAATCTCTCCGACTATACGTGCCCACGAGACACGTACACCGAGCGTACCAGTGGGACCAGGGCACGGGGGCATCGTATAAAATCCACTCCGCTGATATTGAGAGATGCCAGTTGAGGTCTGATATATGGGGTTCTGATGCAGAGCGATTCAACCCGAATCGCTGGTCTGCTCTTACGCGGGCGCGGGGAAATGCCTACTTGCCCTTTGGATGTCCGCCGTTTGAGTGTCCCGCCAAGGCGACTTTCGGGCCGAGAATGATTGCGGTCTTGGTTGGGTCTTTGTTGGCGGTTTTAGATGAAGATTCATCAAGGAGTTGGTCTTTGGATTGCGCAGATGGGAGGGTATTGGGACATATCGCGTCTGGGACGAGGTTGTGTCCGCAGAGGAATGCCTATACGGATTTATATCTAGTGCGGTCTGTGGAGTAGGCAGAGTAAAGAGTGAATATAGATCGATGGAAATTGGTTCGAAATCTAAGTGCAGATTTAGTTATTAGTGAAGCAAAGGAGGTCTGAGAGGTTGGGTCTATGCAGTCCAGTAATAGGTATTATATCGAAGAGACACTGTTTCGCTAAAGGATCTATAGCCAAAAGAATGTATATGCCTAGGCACAGAATAGTTTACAACAAAGCAAGAGCAGAACATATGTATGATTGAAGTATGAACCCACGAATAATACGTAGCCACTCTATCACGTAGGCGCAGACATCGAGGTAATCTCAACAGACCTATTCAGCCCAGACCCATCTATCACCAACGGCTTACAAACATCAGCAACATTAGTTTCTGCAGTCATCTCATCAGCCCAAGACTGACACGTATCCCCATTACCCGGCACCGATCCCGCGGTGTCTGACCCGGCATCAATACCAGCACCTAACACCCTATCATAGCTTACAGACCGTGTAATATGCGAGTCACGATTAATCTTCACCCTAATCCGCGACCCCATGAAACTCAAATTGTTGAACATGGTCACAGCACACTGGGCCTCGTCTGCTGTTTGCATGGTTATCAAGCCGCGGAGCTGGACACTACCATCTACCGAATCGGCAGTGGCTATGTTGCATTCCTCGACAGTGCCAGCTGTCTGTAGAAGGACTTTTAGGTCGGTGCATGTAGTTGTGGCATTCAAGTTCTCGATGGTGATGGCTCGACGGTTTGGGTAGAAAGACGGAGAATTAGGATTTGGACCTTTGCAAAATTCGCGATGGTGGCTGTGGGGTTGGTTATCGCCGTTCGGGTGGTGCATGTGTTGTGGAGGCGACATCCGATACCCTGGCATCATGTTCCAATGCGGCTCATACATTGCGCCGTTCATTACTGGGGATGGGGGGAAACACTGCATTGGTTGTGCGTGTGGATCTGGCATCATGGGCATGAATGATTGCGGTGGCATTGATATTGGCACCATCATGATGCCGTACTCTGGGTATGGATATGGTGGAGTTGGCGGATGGGAGGATCTGGGGGGGATTAGGTTATTTCTTGTTTGACAAGGATGTGGTGTACTTACTCTGGCGAGACGGGCGACGGGGGCATTGACATGTTTCCATGTACTAACGGAGGCGTGGAGTGACCAGCGATGTAACCTGTAGGCATCATTGCTGGACTTCTGGTAGGTCCGGCAATGGGCTTGGTGGGCGTACTTGTTCGCGAGAGTGTGACGACCAGACTCTGGCCGTCCCATCCGCTGGTTGAAAGTCGATCTGTGGCGGGTGTTAGGGTGCATTATTGGGGATTGGATATAAACACATACGGTAGGTTCGCCAGGCCTCGTCTTCATTCTTGACGATGATTTGGCCGAGTCCGGTGGGGAATCCGTGGCTATCATCGTATACTACTGCCTGACGAATATGCAGTGCAGTCTGGCGGACGAGATCCTTGAGTTCTTGCCAGCGGCAATGAGGCGGGATCTAGAATTCTTATTAGATTTTGAACTCATTTAACGTATTCCATGTCAAAACTCACGCCTTGAAGGAATACGACAAACTCATCGTCCGACCTGCGCGATCTGGGACGACCTTTATCACGACCGAGAGGAGGCATGACCGACGATATCTCAAAATGCACCCCGGTAATTTCAGTGCCGAAAGCGCGCTAGCTCAGACGTATGGATTTAAATGGAGGATCGATGTCGATGCTTGTAAATATCCCGGTCCGTCGGCGTTGCGAAACAGTCGGGGCTCGACTTGTCCGACCAGGTATTCGGTTGAGTCCAGAACTTGGACAATTGTACCCTCTGTTAAAAGCCCTGTTAGCTCAGGACATATAAATGCGGTGATACCTTTGGATCCCAACTTTGCTTAAACTGAGACGACCACAGGGACGACATCACCAAGCATTAAGGTGCAATCATTGGGAAACCAAATCCCACAAGCATACCTTTTTTTTTTCTCTGTCGGATAAATGCAAGTCAACTAATTGGTCTGACCGACGAACTGCAGAAACAGACAAACCCCTCCACGAGCTGAACGAGACTGGAGCAGATTATAAAGCGCTGGAACAAAAAAAAAAAGAGAAAGCGTCGAGGTTTCACAAGAATAGTTATGAAGATATATGATATAGTCAATTAATTTTTTAAAGCTAGTAATAATCTACGATAGTCCTATTCATGGCTTGCAAGTAGAAACCATGGGGGCCCAGAATACTGCACAATGTGGACGAATAGCGACGCCAGATGACCAGCAGTAGCCAGTCATACCAGAGAGCAAGCAGTTCCCTTTCTCTTTCTGGCTGAGATATGTCATTTTCCCTAAGAGCTCAGCTCTGCCAAATACAATAGAGGTGTGGTTCTGCTGTCCCACCGGATATAGTTCCACTTAAGGGCATTGTATGGCCCATTCTATTGCGTACACTCCCTTCCTTTGTTTTGAATATTAAAATCAAATTCTCCATTCAAGTACCGGTATACCCATGCACAGGAGGCAAATCACTTGGAAAGCTGCGCTTACTTTGACTTAATACGGAGTATGGAGTGTTACACCGCTAGATCCAGATCGGATATGCAGAATGGACATGCAGAGTGGCCCTGTATTCATCACATTGGCTATATTGTTGGATCGGAATTAAAAAAAAAAAAAAAAAGCAAATGGACAAGAAAATGATATTTTAAGAACAGGAGGGATCTCCGATCAGAGCGGGTCTCTAACATGAGCAGTCATACCCTGCAGTTATTGGCATTTTCTTTTTTGGATCAATTACATCGACTATTGATTCAAGTACCTGCAGATGGAGAGATAGAATTGAAGGATAAGTCCGGCCCAGAATTCATCTAAATTCTTGAACATTTATCATGTGCACAAATACAGCGTATACCTCCCTAGATAGTCTTACTACCCCTAGATAGTCACACTGCAGGTCCCAGAAAAGTCTACAGCCGGCGTTCCCGTCTCTCGAAAGAGGTATGTGGAATACGCATGTACTCGAGCCTACCTATATTGTACAGTACAGGGCCAGTCGGAGGGCGACCAATAACTATGATAAATATGGCACAGGGCATGTACGACAGTGGAAGTATATCAACGACAAATGACCATTCACATAGGAAGCTACCTACATTCCAAACATGTATGATTCACTTGTGAGACGAAGTAATATGATGATACGCGACCAAAGCACAGGGCTCCAGGGGCGGTCACATGGCCATGCGCATATCTACGCTGGCGAATTGTGGGAAATGTGGAAGAATGTTTCTGTAAATTATCTCACGGGGTTGAATTCCTCGGATGCCAAATGTAAATATTAAGGTGTATTGCACTGTCTGTACTAAATATAATAAGGTGATTGAAGGGTGTTTATATTCAATGAAATTTCTAAAAGGGTGTCGAAATACTCGAAGAGGAACTCATCGCCGAAGCGAAAGAAAAGCAGCAAAAGGTATAGAAAGGGCTAAGGCCTTTGAACTTGCAAAATTTCAATATGCAATAAGGCCGGGTGGAATGGGCCCTCATAAGCGCTCGGTCCGTGGCTGTACCGATCCCCCGTTCCACCCATTTGACCGTGGAATCCCCGTTTTTTTCTAATCGAAGATCAGGCAGTGCCAGCACAGGCCAATCTCAGGAACTCTGGAAGTGTTCGAAAAAAAAAAAAAAAAGAAAAGTATCGAGGGATGGGATTTTCTTCCATTCGGAGAATCATATCCTTGGAGGAACGATTTTTTGTTGGTTTGTCGATTTTTGATGTTGATCCGGTTAACCACTCGCTAGACTCCCTCAGATCCTCCGCTTTATTTGGTTTGGGTTTGGGTTTGGGTTTGATTTGGTTTCAACGTATATTCATTCTCCGAAGCCGACTTTGGTTGCGCAGCGGCCGCAGTAGTAGGAGTTCATGCCGAATTGGACGATGCTGCAGCCTGATTGGCCTAGGCTGAGAGATTGTTGGCAACGGGAACATCGGACAATATCGAGGGTTGGAGGAGAAGCCTCAGCAGGACGAGCAACACCGCCAGTCTGAGGTTGAGTAATTTGTAATGGAGAACTCATTTTGGAATTCGATGAGGGTTTGGAAGAAAAGGGGGGGATCGCATGTTTTTGAGTTGACCCGGTCCCCGTGATTTCTCGGTTTACCCCGGTTTTTTTGGATGCGATGATGACTTGACTTGATAAGGGGATAATGTGAAACAGGAAAATATTCGGGGCTTTTAAATTGTCTACTTTTTTGCCCTTATCCCTTCTCTGCCGATCATATGGGCTTCCGAACCTAAACCCGGACATGCCGAACACTTTCTGTTTTATCTGGAACTTGGGCGTTTACTACTTGGTGTATCTTTCTATTTTTGACTGTGTATAGTAACTCAAGCCCCTTGATCCAAAACAGTGGCCCTAGACGTAGGTGGACGTGGTCTTCACGCTAACCAACATCCAATATTTAGACTTCCAAGGTTATAATTTATGGGCTCCGTTTCTGTTTCGCATCCTGAAAAGGTGGGGGCTCGTAGGATTTCGGCAGATTTAGATGTTTAAATCCTTGTTTAAGGTCATGTTCTGAAAGATTGAACATGCATACAGGACCGAATAATTAGAAACATGCAGCTAGCTTCGTTTAGGCGAAGCCAGGGAGAAAGCCGAACAAGTTGATAAGGTGTGGTGAGGGGCGGGTGAAGCCGATCATCGAAACATCGCGAAATCCTAATCGACCGGATATAAGATTCGCCAGCGACGTCATATTTCCTCCATCCGGCACTTTCCTTCTCTTCTCTCCTTGAGACTATCAAATTGATCCCGAGCCTAGACCCAACTCCTAGCCGTTTAGATCTCGGCCCTTGCCCCGCCAAAAACGAAATATCTCCTGCCCCTCATTCCTATCCCACCCACATATCTATCCATCATGGCCGGACACCCCAACCTCTACAGCTTCCCCACCTCTGACGCACTAGCTGCGCAATTGCGAGGCTACGTCCTCCGCTGCCAGAACGCCGCTCTTTCCCGACACGACACCTTCCGCCTCGCCGTCTCCGGTGGCTCCCTGCCAACCGTTCTGGCCAAAGCCCTCCTCGCCCCCAGCGATGGCTCCCCGGAAGACACCCCCCAATTCTCCAAGTGGCACATCTTCTTCGCTGATGAGCGCGCCGTACCACTCGACCACGAAGACAGCAATTACCGCCTCCTGAACGATGAGCTCGTCAACAAGATCCCCGCCGAGCTCGGCGCGCCCGTCGTCCACCCCATCGACGAGAAGCACGTTGAGGATGACGATCCCCAGGAACTCGCAGATCTTTACCGTGAGGATCTGATGCGCGAGTTCGCTGCCAAGGATAGCGTCAAAATCCCCATCTTCGATCTCATCCTCCTGGGCTGTGGTCCCGATGGTCACACCTGCTCGCTGTTCCCGGGCCATGCTTTGCTCCGTGAGAAGGATGCTTGGGTTGCCGCTGAGACCAACTCCCCCAAGCCCCCGCCGAAGCGCATCACCCTTACCCTACCCGTTGTTACCCACGCCGTCAGCATTGCCTTTGTTGCGACCGGCGCCGGCAAGAAGGAAATCATGAAGCAGATCTTTGACCTTGAGGAGGGCTCCAGTCTTCCTTCCGCGCTGGTTAACCAGGGTGCCGGTGATAAGGTGAGCTGGTTCACGGATCACCCGGCAGTGGATGGTGTTTCGTTCCCTCGTCGTGGGAGTCTTTGAGGTGTCAGACTGCTTAGATGGATGATGGCTTCCTTTCCTATCTCGCAAGATTTGCCTTGTACGGTATTGAATGCACTGGCTATGATGAAAAATGGAGTTCTGCTTTGGTCTGTTAGGACCGGTAGGCCAAACTTAGAATAGAATTCATATCTCTTCCATCATTTTTGTCCTTGCTTCGGCCCAGCATCCGTTCGTATCCTTGAGAGACTTCCTCCGGTAGATCATACAAGAGTGTTTCCAGATCTGAGTACCTGCTGTGTTCTACGCGATCGTTGTCGATGATGTTGAATATCAGGCGTAACCAGAGGTATGTACGATTCTGCATGCTTTTCAGGCGGTCTTGATCTTTTGTCGATCGCTTTCGATGATGCCTTTTGTGATGCCCTCAACTGTCTCATCAATGACCAGGTCAATCTCATACTGAAGTGGATGACTTGTGATGAAGAATTTGAGCTTGGATCCCGCTAACGTCTGATCTGTGCTGTATAATTCTTCAAGTGTTTCAATGATCCGATGTGCGCTTCTCTCTTCGCATTCATCCAACGCATCCATGACACATATGATTTCGCCGACCTCCGGGTCTGCGACACACACCACCAGGATTCGCCATAACTCGGAAAACTTTATCACAAGGGAGTCGCCATTTGCCTTATACCCCGGCAACCCAGGTCTGATCAGTCTCGTAGATTCCTGGGTGGATGCACACCGCGCTTGGGTACCGTCCATCCTGCCACCAGCACCCTCTTTGAAAAAGAAATGAACAACAACAGATCGAGGGCTAGTCAGAACACCGGCGGATGCGAGGGTAATCGTGCCGGTGTTCAGATGGTTTTTGTCTATCAGCGACCTCGACAAGACTGACTTGCCACGCCCAGGACCTGCTGACACCCAGAGGACGCCTGAGCTGCTGTCGCGCCACACGTTGAAGCCTTCATCCTCCAAAATCCACTCACAGGTCCCGCGGACTCTGATTGGATTCCGATACATGTTTTCCTTGTATCCTCTTTTTCTGTAGTGCCGCTCATAACAAGCTGTCTTATTAGCCTAGATCTTGAAGATCATGAAACAGATGACCTACTGGGAGAATCAAGGAGACGCCGGACCATGCAAGTGCTGCAAGCGGTTGAGTACTGACAGCAGTCTTTACGAGCGAATCAGACCAGAGAATCAGACCAGAGGAGAAAATTCCCCAACTTCTCAACCTGCTCTCGCACGCTGATATTGTGGCTCCGAATGTGAAATTTCCACTGTTTTTGCTCTCGATACCAACAGCATTTTGACAACACCTCCAACAGATTCTGGGTTTGAGACAGAAAGAACGCACGTAAAAGAGCAGGTGGTGACTTTCACCAGCACCAGAGACTACAGACCTAGATACGCCTGCCTTCGACAGAACGACCTCGATCGATGTCGCCAATACACAGACCAAGCCGGCTGGCTCCTCAATCTCAAAATTCACTCCCAACTCACCGTCCTCTTCTACCGTTTCTGATCGGCATACGCCGACAGATGCGCCACTTGTGGAAACACAAAAGAGTCGAGGGACCCGAAACGAGCGCTAGTCCAGATCCTTTGCCATATTCCAGGAGAGAGATACAGACCAGGATCTGGTGACAGCTTTCTGCAACAAGCGGTCTTTGGTTGCTGAGAAAAGCCCCATGTTAGGTGTAGAGCAACAGGGTCGGGCTGGTGCCAATGTGACTGATGAGGTTTCTCATGGATATTTTCCTATTTTTGATACACTTTTGTTTTAAAATGGTTTGAATAAAATGTTACGTCCAATTTTCAACTGCGCTACAGTATGTATCCATAACCCACTTACGATTCGTAGGCGATGTGTCGAGAATTGCTCCTAACCGCTCTCCTTGGCTAGCGTGTGGCCACCCGGGGGCCGTAGTAAGGTCAGTCTCGCAAATGGCCTCTAAGGCCGAAAGAAGTAGCGCTAAGTGCAGAGTAGGGTAAGTCCTACTTAGCGGCAAGGAGGAGTAGTTATGTATCTGTCGGGGTTACAAATGTACCATGGCGGGTGGGGCTTTCCTATTTGAGCTGCCGCCGCTTTTATGAGGGTGCTCAGGCTCACTGAGCAGATGTCAGCACGGGCTCATATCAGTGATCATGCTCAGATCAGTCACGTGCAGAATGACTGATGCTGATATACTCAGCCCGTCGTAGACTATACCTAGAAAGGATTAGTCCCTATTGGACCGTTTATATTATGATAGTTCGTTGATAGTATTGCTGCTGCCTCATTTTCCGGAGCACTTTATCTCACTAAGATTATACATCATGACGAAGGGGCGCAGAAAAGAGGGGAGAACTCCATTCGTTTCATGATGTCTTCCCTCGTCTTCTAATTCAGAGCGGCTCAAGCTCAAAGTCCCAAATATAAAGGCAGACCGTGTGCCAGCATTAGCATGTAATAATCAACACGCCTTCTATTCAAGCGCCTTCTACTTGGTATATTAATCTAATATCGCATTATTTTACTTTAAATACATCCCCTACCTCCAGGTCGCACCGCACTTGATTATGGGCAGAAAAGGCTTTTTTACCAAGCGTGATAGAATCGCCAAGGAGAGGCGCCGTCTACAGCGAGAAAAGAATGGTTATGCTCCTGGGGTTCATAGAGAGGAGGACTAAATTCGGGAGAAAGATAAACGGCTCCCTAAGACCAACAAATTACATCAAGAAACTATGAACCTCTGGCTCGAGTGAGTTAAGCCGCATCTGAAGTGGCAATCCCTTTCCTATTATGGATTCTGCTGACCTTCCTTTAGTTTCACTGCAGACCCAGAGAATGGGTTTGAATATTACCAAACCTCCCTTGGTTCTCCGGCTCCAACTCATGAGATGATCAAGTCGTACATTCGCTGGTATGCAAGTTCTACCCAGGGGCGACTGAACGATGATGGGCTACCTACGGTAAGAGCCGTGAGTGCGCATGCCGAACGATTCTTTGGTGGATTTGGAGCTAGTATGATAAGGCGAGAAAAGTATTGCTCGAGGATATACACGCATGGAATGCCCTTTTGGGGATCTTGACGGATATTCTGAAAGACCCGACCTTACAGAGCACCTATTATTTTATTGATGCGCTAGACGAATGCGCAGCAGGCCTACCTTCCCTTCTTGACTTGATTATTTAGGTATCGTCTGCTTACCCAGAGATAAAGTGGATTGTCCCCAGCCGTAACTGTCCTAATATCGAAGAGCGTCTTGTACTACCCAACCCGCTTAAATCTTATTAGAGCTTAATGAGGAGTCTGTATCTGAAGCTGTGAGCAAATTCATTCACCATATGGTTCACTATCTGGCGAAAGTTAAGAGGCATAGTGATGAAACTCGTGAGACGATCTGCGGTCACTTATCATCTGACTCGCAAGGCACTTTCCTTTAGGTAGCCTTGGTCTATTAATAAAAGGGACTACCTGCGTGAAACAATCGAGGGCTTTCAGGCCGCAGATCAATACCTTCAAACGCTAGGTTAACCGGTAGTCAACCACCTAGGAGAGACCAAGCGCACGATCTGAGGAATCGAGATCCTGCGGTCGAACTTCTTCATCGTTGGGATAGGAGTGGTTAATCATCGTCCTCAATTTCCTAGTTAATCAGCTTCAGCACATTTTGGTCACGCCGGGTTCAGAGAGGGTGGGGTCTCGTATATCTATTTTTTACAATTCAATTCAAACATCAGAGCTATATTGAGGCAAGGGACAATTGCATCGTTCTCCCTGTGACTGAACACTAATCGAAGGGGATCACGGGCGAAATCAATCACATACTTATAACCGTTGACTCACGGAGACCGCGATTGCATGATTGCAATAAAACCCGTACCAAGGTGATCAAAATCTCCAACTGTATGATTGTACAAGGGGACATGTCATTTGTAACGCGTGTCTATAAAAGGTGTGCACAATCGTGGTCTTAGCCTACATACTGCATGTAGTATTATTACCCGCATAACAGCGTGAGATCCAACATTCCAGACTAATCCACGGAGTACACGAGAGGATCAATGGTCTCATTTCTTCTATAATGCATGTTGTAGAAATAACTACACATGTCCAAGATACAATAGTCTCCGAGACCCAGACTTTGAACTATTGAAATCCCGGTGAACTCCTTCGAAGTTGCAGCGCTTTTCAAGACAAGGGTACGCGAAGACGTCGGCGATTTGACTCTTGCGTTGACTCGTGCTCTTGGATCAATCTATCGGACTAGCTAATTTGCGTAGAATACGTACATAAATCTACTGTTGTTGTGCTATACCTCCGTACCCTACTCTCTTGCTCCGAGAGTACCAATCCCCGACCTCTCTCATCTCGTATGTAGAACACTTCCAGCATGGTTGTGTCGATCTAGATTCCTCGCGATCTCCAGTATTTTTTTCTTTAACCAAAAAGATTGACGAAGGTCGCGAGTTAGCGGGGGAAACGCGTATTCGTTATCGTACTCCGTACTCAGTATCCCCTTCACCTCGGCCCCCACGAACACATACTTCATATGAGTCAAATAGGGTTATTAAAATTGTCGATCTAACACAAGTCCACAAATAAGAAAACTTGACAGGTCGCGAGTATCATTTCCTAGTTTATTTAAGCGAGCTTGCAGCATCAGAATAGGGGCGTTTCCCCGCAAGATTTTGCGGGTCAAAGCCAGAACAGTTCCACTTGCTTATATGTTTTCTCTCACTTGACTTGTTTTCTCGACTTATGTGAACAATGCCAACCAACTATTTTGTACGGAGTACAGATTACTTGTTGCGGCTGGCTAGGTTAGTGCCACCAACTTCCAAATAGTTAAGCTCCGTTCGTCCAGGATTAACGCACCTGTTTGGACAAAGTCAAAGCTTCAGGGATAATCTGTCGATCACTGGACTGGGAATTGGACAACGTTATTACTGTCCCACTAAATTCATACTATTCCGTACAGATTCCGCAAGTTCAGCCGATGAACAAGATAATTGCCCAATTTGGACCGGCTATTGCACGATGTCCTGTCCCTTTCTAGCATGAGAATCAGGTGACCAAATATCTGATCTAGTCTGCGTCGAGATCGGCAGAAGATAGGCATTCGTTTAGGCGAAGTTCGGTCCGAGACACAATTGACTCGGACAACCTGTCCAGCAAAGGTATGCACAATGCACAGAGCATCCGAGGTTTCATGTTTCCCCGTTCCGCTGCCATGTGACTCCGTTCACTTCATCGGTGCCAACGGAGTAAACAGTAGCAAACCCTTGGCTAAATGCTCCCACATAATACGATGATGTATAACTAGTCACAAATTGATGTGCAATTTGTGAGCTTTTCTGGAGTCAATAAGCAGGAGGAGTTGCCTAATTTGGACTCGCGTGGTTAACCCCAGCCTGAAAAATGGAGATCCTGAACGCTTCTGCAGAGGAATCCTCTCCCGGCTCTTGTGGTTTCGCTTCCGTTTCTTCCGGGTCCACCGTCCAAAAGGGGAGCTACTAGTGGCTTGAAGAATATCCGCCGATTATGGAGTCTCGCAAGCTGAAGCTATCGAGGGGTTGTATAAAGGAAATCCGTGGACCCGCACCGTTGAACTGGTTTTGAGCTCTGGTATCTGTTAGGGCATTTATTCTGACCCTGGGTCATCCATTTCCAGTCTCCTTCGGATAATATTCCTTTCTCTTATATCTTTTTCTAATATTACGCTTATAACATTTCCTGTTTTCATTTGACAACATGCTCTTATGGCGCCCCCTGGCGCTGTCCCTGGCTTTTGTCCCTCGGGCAATAGCAGATATCTGCGAGACACTCAAGAGCGGCGGCATCGAGATCGAAAGCCGTATTTCATTGGCCTATAACACTGACCTGACAGAGTATTGGTCCACAGCATGCGGTGACCTTAAGCCGACATGTATTGCAGCTCCGTCTAGTGCAGCGGAGATGGCGCAGGTTATCAAAAATCTTCATAATGTGGATACTCTCTTGTTCGTTATCTCTACTTACACCGGCAGTAATTATTTTGGCTAATTTCATATAGTGCCATTAAGAGCGGAGGTCATAATCCTAACAATGGATTTGCTAGTATCCAGGATGGACTCCTGGTTTCGACTAAGAATCTGGATCAGGTTGACTATAACCCTAAGGATCATACGGCTGTTATCGGTCCTGGACTTTCATGGGAAGAGGCCCAGAAAGGCCTTGAGGGAACTGGCCGGACTATCGTTGGAGGTCGAATGGGAGGAGTTGGAGTCGGTGGATATATGCTGGGAGGTATGTGGTTCAGAAAGTAGCGCCGAGTTTATCTCTAATGGTTTTCCAGGTGGTATGAGTTTCCTCAGCACTCAGTACGGTTGGGCTGCGAACAATATCAAGGACTTCGAAGTTGTCCTGGCCAATGGCAGTATTGTCCACGCAACCGAAACTGAAAACCAAGGTGGGTGATACTCGTGCCAAGCGTCGAACACAGAGTGTGTGTGTTTGGCGCTTGGCACGATTACTATGCCAATATTTATAATCGTCAAGACACTGACACTTGATAGATCTCTTTAAAAGTTTGAAGGGAGGCGGCAATAACTTCGGAGTTATTACTGCGTACACCATGGAGACACATCCTCAAGACCATAAGGTCTGGGGTGGTAACTATATTTTCACAGCCGACAAAGCCCCCCAAATTCTCACGGCAGTGCGTAACTTCACCGACGAGTATCCCGACGACAAAGCGGCAATCATCGTGACATTTGAGCGCGGTCTCGTGCTTGACCTCTGTATTTTATTCCTCTTCTACGACGGCCCCGAGCCCCCCTCTGGGGTCTTCGACGGGTTCACTGCTATTGATCACACATCAACCACCAAGACCTGGGACACCTACTACGACCTGCTAAAGCATAACGACTTCTTCATTCTTAAGTATGACGAGTAACTCTTAATCCTCAGATCGCTTGCTTACTAGTTACTAGGGGACAACGCTACAATATCGCCACCGAGACTACTCCCCTCCCCAATAAGACTGTGGGAGCGGCTCCACTCCAGGAGTACTATGATCATTTCCGCGATGTGACCGAATCCATACTAGAAGTGACCGGTCTACTGGGTTCAATCGCCTTCCAGCCCCTGCCTACGACGTTCTCCCAGAAGGCTAAGGACCGTGGTGGAGTAAGAATTACATTCCTAATGAAACAAAATAGAGATCATATCACTAATAAACCTCTAGGACCTCCTCGATATTCCCTCCGATCAACCGTACATTGTCATAGAGCTCGACTTCTCCTACGGCCTATCTGTCGATGACAGTAAGGTTGACGCGGCCACCGTCGAACTCTACCAAGGAATGGGTAACCTAGTCCAAAAGAACATCGATAAGGGTGTTCTTCCTGACGTGTATCGACCATTGTTTATGAATGATGCATACTACCGCCAGGATTACTGGGGCCGTATTAGCCCAGCATCTAAAGCGCTTGCTCTGAAGACAAGAAAGGCGTATGACCCCGAAGGATTCTTCCAGGAGCGGACCAGTGGAGGCTGGAGGCTGAAGGACTAAATGTCGACGCGGCCTAGGCATTGGATGTATGTATCTCGTCTACAATTATATTTACAAAGACGTAATCAATTGGTTTTAATTATGACTCGAGAGAAATGTAAAGCTGTTTGTTGGGAAGTAGGTGCATCCGCGATCCGCTGCGAAGGGGCAGAGCGGCCAAAAGGTCAAAAGCCTGGTTTTTCAGGCTTGATACCTTAATCGTTGATTATGTAATGGCCCGTGATCAACTCAGAATACTCGGGACGTGCTCAGTTTTACTCAGTGATCAAAAAGCGGCAAGGGGTGAGCACTAAACCGGAAAGGGAAAGGTTTTGAGTGTCAGGCATTATCTGGTACACATGTTGTATACGTTGAACAGTTGTTGAACATTGGATCATCCTATACTTATTTGCTTGCAGACTGAGCAGATTGCTTGTAAGACATTAGGTTATGAATACTCTGCTTTTTTCTAGATTGAACAACAATGACTCGTCTTTCCCTTTCTCCTCTTCGCCAGTAGCCGTAGGAACATTATTATAAGTTAAAGTCTGTTGATTTGATATCACTAGCCTGAAGCATGGTCTTCCAATAGAACAACTGGTCAATTCGAGTCCTTTGATATCAATAAAGCTTGATAACTTACTTTGACTTAGGACTAAAGGCAATCTATTCCACATTTGCATTCCTTGGTGTCGGTATTGCAGAATCCATACTTATCGGGGCAGCACTTTGCCGGATCTGCAGCGGCGCATTTCTTCACGGGGCATGCGCTCTTATCCAGCTCAGCAGGCAATGCCGCTACAAGCATAGCGAGAGAGAGGACTAGGGCGATTGAGGCGGAGATGAACTTCATTTTAAGGAGGTTTTGGTATGAATGATTGAATTTGATTGGATTGATTGGGTTGAGACGAGAGATAGTTTCTCGCAGCAAGACAGAAGGCTATTTTTATATATTCAATTACTCACACTTCTCGATGAGCATTATGTACCACACCGGTGCTATTCCTAATCCTGGCACATTTATGTGATAGCAAGGCAACTATACAGGAGACTGCATAACGATCAGCAACGAGCAGCATGGATGTTCCAATCAGCCAAGGAGTAGCATCGAATCGTGTCACGGGGTTAGGATTCCTTTCTTTTTCCCCGGGTTTGAAGGATTCTTCCTTATTGAACGATGTAAGATTTCTGTCGATTGTTCAGATATGGCCTTATGGAGCGTTCACGATGACATGTGGAGACGAGGTCTGCTATTGGTTAGCATGGTGTAGATCCCGTGTGGTGTGGCGAACCCCGGAGCCCCTTGCATCATGCTAAATGTCCAATCATAAACATGGCCTAGAGCTTTTTGGGGGTTGCCAATTTCAGCCTCCTGTACCACCCTAAAACTTGAGCACAGGGACCCTGTTAGTTATAAGAGCACTAGTCCTACGGCGTTTAAGCAATACATGATGTGTCTCTATTCACTTCAATTCAATTGCATCCGTACGGAATAGCTAGAATAATACGATATTATATAGCTCTAAGTGATGGTAATAGCTGCTAGCTCTACTAGCCGTAAAATGTAAGATTTGAAGCTTCGGGAATTAGCAGGCTTGCGTACATGGGGTATCTGTACCCCGTATCATATGTAAGATTCTAGACTTTACATAAAGCATTTCCAAGCTTGCTTGGCGGCTAAGATGGATGGCCTAGCAAGGATCCTGTCTAGAATGGGGCCAAAAATGCACACGAGTTCAAGTCGGAAGGTCGATCATCCATGAATGGATGTTCATACTTGCTATCTTATTGCCTTATATGGGTAGCATTAAGCATAAATTAAAAGCAGACTTTAAAGAATTCATTGCCATACGATCCCAATCCTTATCAAACCATTTTAAGGCACTATTACCTGAGTCATTAGATAAAAGAAATGCAAAAAGTCCATGTACATATGCGAACGACTCAATTTTGGCTAGTATGGGCTGTTGTTTCCCTACATATTTCAATTCAGGCGCTCAGCGGCGTAGCCCAGGCGTGTCGATCTCCCGTTTCTATCCGACCCCCACAAACGCATGCGCAATCACATGTATTTCTTGGGAGTACAGCTTAGACTAATGCCCTCCTTACTATGCTAGTAATTATAAATGCACACTAGTAGTCTTTAGGGGAAGAAATGAGATATGCGTATTATATATGAAGCATTTCAGTCTATCTAGACAGGAGTGAACGCCCGTCACTCGGCCGCATCACTTGACGCTAAGTACATACAACATTGAACTTGATGCCGGTGAAATAACTAACAAATATAGAACAACACCAATTATAGCCCTCTAACCCCATACATGCCCAAAGAGAAAATTTGGTTGGTCAACCCATAGCCAGGAGTACGGCACGCTTGGCTGTTAACGTTGTATTTTCCTCTTTCTGTCTGACAATTTATGGCTCCTATTGGTCTTTGCACTTTTCTAGACAATAATCGCTACTCTGTAGTTACTATCATTAGCCGATAATAAAAGGTATATAAGCTAAATGAACTCACCCCGCCATCGATCTTGCAGAGAGTGTAGCAGTTGTTGACCTGAGCAGAAGTCGCTGAGTCTTTTTCAGCTTCGATGGGTGCGGCAAAGGCTAGGCCAATGAAGGTTGCAAGGGCGAAAATAGAGAAACGCATTTTGAAGGTTTTGGTGGGATAGGTAGTTGGATTTCTGGTGAGAGTTTCTTTTGAGTGGAAAAGTGAAGATTGTTTTGAGTTACAATGGAGGTGAAGTGCCTACAATTTATATGTTTTCGGCTGTACGTAGATACTAGTTGGTTAATTCATCTCCCTTCGTATTGTTAAGTTTAGCCCCCACGACTTGTGCAGGCTTATCTGCATAATTAGTATCATGCAAGGATAATCCCCACGAATTCTCGCACGTATGCCAAAATTCCAAGATTGATCTACACAAACATTCTACAGTTTAAGCAAAGAACTGCACATTTCTATAGGCTGTTCATTTTCCGGCTCGCCGGGATTACATTATCAGCTTCTGATATCTGCAATGTGGCCTCAGATTGCGAACCAGAAGGCACATGTCTGACACATAAGGCTAGGCACCTGGTCCTAAGGATCTGCAATCTATTGCCCAAAAGAGGGAAATAACCAAGACGGTACTCTATCCTTGCTAAGACGCCGAACCCTACTTGGTAAGGACTGTTAGCTCTATATAAAGACACCCATGGGGTGATAACCACGTCCTCAACACTGCATCGATATCTCCCTCTACATCGTATCTTCGTGCTTCAAACAAACTTACACCTTCACAAACCAGATCCCCAAACATGAATTTTTTCATTGCCCTGCTTGCCCTAGCTGCCTTTGCAATGGCCACGCCCGAAGCTGGTCTCAATCTGGAAGCGAGAGTTGGGTGCTCCCAGAAGGGAGAATACTGCAACGGCGACGGTACATTCCGGTGCTGTGTGGGACAAGGGAAATGTAGTGGAAATGTGGTAAGTCTACATTTGCTCTTTTTATTGAAACAGATATGGCCAAATATGATAGCAGATGACTAAAAGGAAATATAGTGTAAATAAGCCACCGTCTACCGAGGAAGTGCATAGGTCGCCTTAGGCCGCGGGATTCCATGTATCGAGTTCACAGCTGTATATTTCGTCACTCTGTGGTCCTCTGCACAAAGTGTTGTCACTTCCAACCTGCCGTTGATGAAAATGTCCATCCGCAATGAAAGCTGACAATGCAATGAGGATTTATTATGCTTTGTTAGGCTAGATCTTGATTAATGAATCCAAATGGGACTCTTATTATCTTAGACTCGATATTAGTGGAACCTAGATCTAATTTATAGTAGATAAAATAATCGGCCGGCTTCTGTCCCTGATAACATTCACTAGTTGACTTAATCTAGAGAGAAGATCCACCATAGCAGTAAATGCCAGCTACCTAGGTGTATTTCGACTTGAACAACATATAACGTATCAAAGAGCATTGTATTTCGATTTCGATGGGATGAGGAAGATATCATCATATCCGAGCACGCGCACAATACAGAGCAACGTTTCCATGTATAACCTTGTAGTATAAGAACCCTATGGTTTGAACTTTGATTCCAAGCACGACAGAGCAAATACAACGATTCCCTTGACCTTAGCCCCACAAACCACGTTGTTTATCCGGTCTATTGTTGGGACTTTAGAATATATCTCTCACGGGCAGGGCCACCGCATATGAGTAACCCATTCGCCAGGATCACCAGCTGTGATCTTGCCTGGTCCAGCTGGCATCAAGTTGCCTTCCATAGGATTAAGTTAAAATTTTATTTGCAAGCAAAGTACTTCTCGTTGCGAAAGTTCTCACTTTCGAACCAGGTAACGATTTATAGCATCATTACAAGTGCATTTACTTAATGCCAATAGTAGGTTTAGCATATACATGAGCAATGAAGAGTTAGAAAGTATGACCTCACTGACTGGCAGAGGAGAGCAGCTATTGAATAGGATTTTAAAGAGTGTTTCGGCCCAAAGGCCTTCAATCCAATTCATTATATAGCGATGTGCTCGCAAACCTCCTTGTTAACTGCTCCACAGTTAGCCCTGTAAAGCATTCTAATAGCTATAGACCATCTTATACTCGACGTTGATATAGTGCGTTCAATTAGTAGACCTTCTCGTCAAAAAGGGATTCCGTGTATCGAGTTCACTGCCGCCTTGTAGATAACCAAAGCAAACATCTACATCTAGACATTCAATAAGACCGGCCGTTTGATCTTTAGACCAAAGGGAACAAACTTTCCACACCTAGACTCGCCTCGCGTTATTTTTAGCTGGACATCAGTCCATTATTCGAACCTCACCTTCAACCTCAACTCTAGACCACAACCACCCACAACCATTCGATTTGGTTGTTTCGAAAGTTTCATCGAGCAAGTATAACAACCAAAAATTGAATTCCATTATTAACGAATTATAGCAGGATGGCGGAACACGTTGCGCGCAACCTTCGTCTGAGGACTATGAGGCCCGACGGCGAAGCCGCAATATCGTCCAACCCAAACTACAATAACTTCAACTCCAATCTTCGTCTTAATGGCCTATTTGTCTGCATAGACTTCATTGATTTGGAATTGGACACTGGTATCGTTGATACAGCTCCCAATATCGATTTGATCGATATGCACTCCGAGGTCAAGGCTACCCATCATCGACCCCGAAGACCGATGGGATGCCCCTCGTGCTATCCTCTCTTATCTCGATTTAATCGACCTCACGACAGGCACTGAGACTGCTTATCTGAACAATGACTTCTTTTCCCAGGCTGAGATCGCCAGTCCTATTGTGATGAGTCCCGACCTTATTGATTTATGGTTGGACACTGAGTCCGTTGCCTACTTTTCGAAATTAGCTGTCGTTAGCATGAATCTCATTGAGCTATCCGATATCAGGATCATTCCAGTCATTATTGGCCTTGTAGACTTCACCATGCGCACTGGAGTCATTCGCCACGCTGATTCTGACTCGTCTGGTTTGTCTACCACCTCAGGCAGCATCAACGCATTTGATTTGGACCCTGAAGATGACACTATGGGATCTCTCCCTTCTGGTACTGAGTGAGTGGTATTCCCCTGGTTTCCACCGCTTTGATCTACACTAACACCTGCTGCGCTATATTAGTGAGTGGTCCCCCGCGTTTGCTGCTGAGCTGGTTGCCATACTCGACGCCCTCATCAAGCTCCTCGAAGAGCAGCTTCAGTGAGGTCTCAACATCATCTAACATTTTCACTATGATGTAGATGGCTGGGGATATCTGATAAGGAAGTGACAGTTGAGTGACAGTTGAGTGACGGTTTGATCATAGGAAAGTGAGGGTTACGTCAGTCGACAAAGTTCCGGGCCTTGTAGGTATGCTCATCGAGCTGGAGGAACAGATTCTATTCAATTTCGATTTTCAACAGATCTGAGCAACATGAATATCGATTCGCAGTTGTATTCCGTTCCAAACCTAAGTATGTAGGAACACCAAAGCGCCTTGAGTGATACAGGATATATAACCTCAGCTTGTAGCAACTGATTTGAGCAAGTCCTTTAATTGGTCCATGTTTTTCATATTTTATTAAAAAAAAATTTGAAAATGGCTGAACACATATCTTAATGGATGTATGTTTCCACAGAGTGCAACTGGTTCTTAGTGTACGATCATTAGACTACCACAACCCCCGATTTACCGGGCAGCACCTTTATTTTTCGTTTTTTATTATTATTATTATTTCGGTGTTTGCTTTTTAAATGATTTGATTAATTTTAGATGCATCTTCACTGCCTACGGAGTAACCTGAAGGATCAACAAAAAAGAGAGGATAGAATAAAAGGTGTGGGTACTTTGGGGAAGATCGCGCACCTCCCCAACTCTCCGCTAACAACAAACCCATTTCTTAAACCCAATGCATAATGCCTCTCATCTGATGACCTTGTACAATGCCCATCCCAACGCGTTCGGTTTCGCTGCGCGATCCCCGTAAACAAGTCAGTCCCCCGTTTGTTACCCGTCAAGCTCCCCACAGCTGTCGCATGCCTGTGCCACCATTGCCATGCCAACAACTACATACAGAAGCCATGCTAATTATTGAAGACTTCAAATATAGCACGACCTACCACGAAACCCTCCGCTCGACTACCCGCCACGGCCAGCCCGAGCAATGACTCTGTCCGAGAGACGAATACCACCAACCGCTCGCCATCAAATCCCTCGCCGGTCGAGGGTGTGCCTCTGAAAGACAATGGACTCACTGCTCGAGGAAGAACCCTACTTCCCCAGCGCAGGAACACTGTCCAAGACAATGGTCGCGGAACAGTATACGGGCGCATTCAGCCACCTAGCAGTAAGCCGAAACCACGCGGGGACCCGTCACCAATTAGACAGCGAGAGATATCGCCGCCTAAAAAACAAACACCAGCGGATTCTACAGCAATGAAGGCCGGGGTTCCACTCAGCCGTCGCCAAAGCATCATGCGACCTGGCGCTTTGAAGTTGCCGTCAGCGAAGATTACGGTCCCTTCATCAAAGAGCTCAGCGCCATCATTCGCGCCACCCTCTCCCCGCAAAGCGACAGGAAGAAGATCCCCAGTTCAACCTTCTACGACGAGAAGGCCACCTTCACCCAAGAAAACAGAGATGCTACCCCCACCACGCCCCACACGATCCGCCTCTTTGAGGCAACCTATCAGCGCCAGCAAGAGACCACCTGTGGAAGCCAAAAGCCATGTGCGGCACAGGAGTCAGTTGGCACAGAATACAAAACAAGCCGAAATAACCCCGACAACCAGCCAACGTGCACGAGCACTATCAACCTACCAACGGCCGTCATCCCCTAAGAAATTCTCCAAACCTCCAACACCTACCCCTGGAGTCGAACCTCAGCCTGGGAATCTGCTGGTTCCTTCATCATGGCCGGATATTGCAGCATTACAAACAGAGCTTCTGCAACTCAGTCTTGTCCATTCCAATTCACTACAACGTCATGCTGAATGGAAGTCTGATTCCGAGTCGCGTCTGCGCAAAAAGTACGACAGTGTCGCTAGCCAATATCGTTTGGTACTGGCCGATGAAACGCAGCGGCAGTGTCACTTGAATGTGCAAGCCCTGGGACTTTGGCTTTCCAATTGTCGCGAACATCGCGGCTCGCATGACTTCTCCGAGCAGATTCAAATCCTATCACGGGTTCTACAAGACGTCTCGGATATGATTGCTGGCAGTCGGGGAGCACAGTACTCTCAGGCTGTGAAGATATTTGAAGACTGGCTTAACCAAGCGGAGCTTATTCAACATAACCGTGGACCGGGATGTCTGGATGTTGGCGCCTTTATTGACCCCCTGGCGCGAAGCTGGAAAGAATCATTGCAAAATTTATATGTGAGACTGGAACTCTGTGCACGCGAATTGCAAGCTCTTGATATTCTGGGCTTCGGACAAGTGGAGCGACTAGAACAGTCTGCTCTTGCCAGAGTAGCTAAGAACCTGGCTGAATTGATACAGCTTATGACGCAGGAGACTCGTGCCATGCAAACATTGGAGGCAGAAGTGGTGCGCTCAGAAAGAGATGCTGTCAGCCTTATTGCGATGCGGTTCGCAAGCTCTATAAGGGAATCGAGGGCTCCTCGAGTTGGTGCCTGGAGAAGCTAGTCCGCGATATACATCTTTGTGGTCAAGTTGAGTACACGAATACCCATGGCTAAATTCGAACTGTACATAAAGCCACATCTTATGTAGAAATGAAAATGATCTGAAAGTGTGAATGGATATGAGGGATATGGGTAGTACTTCGCCCCAAGTACCTGACGGCCAACCATACCTTGTGTGGTACCTGATCCGAGGTAACTCGATGAGTCAGCAAGCGTCATCTCAATCTGACTTCAGGAGGGCTCTCCGGGAGGTGGTCTAGATCTTGGAGTATTGCGAATTCGCTCCTTTTCCCTTCATACTTTTATCTCTGTCTTTCTCAGTTCATTGCCACTTGCCTCCTTATACCTTCTACGGCATACAAATATCTCATGAGTTACTTTATCCGGGGTGATGAAAAAGCCATCTCTCATCTCTCTTCTTGACGTCATCCACGGTAGCTTCCGTTTTGACAGATAAAAGTCATCCGCAAAGAGACGGTATCCACTTGTCCAGTGCCTTTCGAGATGATCGCCGACCGTACCTAGCGAAGAATTCCAACTTTCTCGCCCACCTGATCCAGTGATCATGAAAAACTCGATCTACGATCGCCTTTGGCGCCGGGAATGCGGGGAATCGTTGCGGTATGCTGGGCTTCGGGGAATTTATGGATCCGAGGAATGGGTCAATGATCTTGACATTGTGAATGAACTCGGTGGACACACTGGTTGTGTCAATGCCCTCAGGTACGTTTATAGCTACCTAAGCCGAATTACTTGGCCTTATCGACTGGTCAACACTTCCGCCATTTCTGATGCATGTCATGCTAACGACCTCGCAGTTGGTCAAGTTCAGGGCGTCTTCTGGCGTCCGGTTCTGATGATAAGCACCTCAATATCTACTCCTACCAACCCGAGTCCTCCAATGCTCCATTCGCGCTCAACACCACGGTTTTCACCGGCCACAGAGCCAACATTTTCTCCGTGAAGTTTATGCCGCACTCGAATGACGGGACTCTGGTTACATGCGCCGGCGACTCGCAGGTTCGCGTCTTCGATATCGAATACTCGGCTGGGAGCAGAACCGATGCCACCACTTCCGCATTTGCGGCTTCCACTCGGAGGCGGCGCTTCAATGAGTTCTTCAGTAGCACGCGGTATCTGAGTGACGGCAATACCAACGCCAGAGTGTATCGAAGCCACTCCGATCGCGTAAAGCGCATCGTCACCGAATCCTCCCCATTCTTATTTCTCACTTGCTCTGAGGATGGTGAAGTCCGCCAGTGGGATCTGCGACTACCATCCAGTGCATATCCCCCGCCACGCGGTGGTCAGGGCTTCATGGCAAACCCGTCGGAACATGATGACTCTAATGTTCCGCCTCCTCTAATTTCATACAAGCAGTACAGCTTGGATCTTAACACAATTTCTTGCTCTCCAAGTCAGCCGCATTATATTGCCTTGGGTGGCGCGCACGTCCACTGCTTTTTGCATGATAGGCGGATGCTTGGCCAGGACACCTCCGCTGCAACGGGCAGCAGGTCTACACCAAGCGCTGGCAGCTCTGCTGATGAGGAAATGAGCAAGGCGACGCGGTGTGTGCGAAGATTTGCACCGGGCGGCAAGCACCATATGAAGTATCTTGATGACGGACACATCACTGCTTGTAAAATCAGTGATGCAAACCCCAGCGAGATAGTTGTTAGCTGGTCTGGCGATCACATTTACAGTTTCGATTTGATTCGCAGCCCAGATGCCCGAGAGACCCAGACGGGCGATAAATCCACCATCAAAGGGAAGAATGGACAGGCTCGTCGCAGTTCACGGAGCCGGAAGCGCAAGAAGCCCACGACGCCTTCATCACAGGAAAGTGGTGACCGACACCAGTCTCGTCGTCGCTCAACAGAGCCAGATACTGTTAGGATCCAATATGAGAATGGCGAGGCAGAGGATGTTTCATTCCCCACAGTCTCAGATAGTGACTTAGGCACCACCCCCGAGAATCTTTTAGAGCAGGCTCGGTATTCTGTGTTAAATGATGCCCAGCGACTGAGCATGGAGATTGCAAAAGGATTGGTAAAACTTCGAAAGACTTTGTTCTCCCTAGAAACGACAGTTCGGGAGGCCGCAGGGTCTGAAGATGGGGGACCCGAATCATACTCGAGATCCTTTGCATCCGCCCTAGAACTTGCGTCTATACTTCTTCCACAGATGGACGGTGTCATGCGCGAATGGAGCTATCCCATGAATCCATCAAGAGAGACTGTTAATTTCCAGCAATCGCTTCGTCGCAATCGCCAATCGTCATGGAGATTTGTCCAAGCCGCTGGCACAATTGCTCATGCGTTGGCAGACCAAACGCAAGACCCGGAAGAATCAAGTTTCGAGATGGTCAAGCCTGCACCTGGCGAGGATGACCCCATTGACCCAGCAGCTCAGTTTGGCTATGAATTCCTCCGAGCAATTCTTCTCTGGCTGCAGGGCGGCAGGCAGCGTCTTCTAGAGGGATTTCAACGCCGCAATGCCCCTCGACGATTACATGGCCGTTACCCAATCCCAGATGAATCCGATGAGGATGCCATCGAAACCATCTTACTGCCCTATATTATGGAACTGGCGCGTGACACTCCGATTGTGAATGTGGATGCCAATAGATTCGAGCATGACAGTACGCGCATCCTGTTCCAAACCCAACGGGCTGCCGTGACTGCATTTGGGAACGCTGTCAAACTGCCCTTGGAAGATCTCGGGGGCTCAGCTGCCAGGTTTGACAGGCGTCGTGTTTCCAATCCTACTTCACAAATCCGCTCTCTCGACTGTGCCTCTGCGAAGAGGTTCTGGATTTTGCGAGTAGGCAGAGGAATATTGATGGAGACGGGTAAGGAAGTGAACTACAAATTTGTCAACGATGCTTTCGGCGGGCTTCACGCCACAGTGCACGAATCTGAGAGTGACTCGGACGAAGAGAGAAACCAGACTGATGTTGACCCCAATGTGGAAGAAGAACGAATCCGGCGTATTGAACTCATCAGAGCTGGTAGTTCTGTTGCCAGACAGGATAATCCTCGGGATGAACGCTCCCAAGCCGATGCAACATCGTTGGATAATGGCGACGTTGATGCAGATGAGGATGAGAGCGATGGTAGCCAGGCAGACGAGTCAACCGACGATGAAGATCATGATGGCTGGCCCATGGATTCATCTTTGGATGAAGATGACGAGGGGTCTGATTCTGACGACATTATCTCCCGGAGATATGCCATTCGAAAGGCGCGACATAAAAATCTCGAGCGCAATGTTCCATGTGTACCTCATATGCGAAGTTATCGCGGCCACTGCAACGTCAGAACCGTCAAGGATGTCAACTATTTCGGACTGAATGATGAGTACGTGGTCAGTGGCTGTGATTCTGGTAATATATTCATCTGGGACCGCAAAACATCGAATCTGGTCAACATCCTTGAAGGTGATAGCGAGGTTGTCAATGTTGTTCAAGGTAATTTCTATCATCGGTTAGAAATACAAAAGCTAACATTGTGATTTAGGTCATCCCTATGAGCCGATGATCGCCGCGTCGGGAATCGATAAGACCATCAAAATATTTTCGCCAGACCAGAATGCCCAAGAAGATGCCCGTAATGGTGTTAACATCCTAGATCCCGACAATCCATCCAACCAGTCTGGTCGAACGCTCTCCAGGATGGGCGGTCTCGAGAGTCGAAAGCGAGTCCATGAAAGCTATCGCATCATGAGCCAAAACGATGTTGAGCGTCGTGGCGGTATGAGCGAAGCACACATCACTGTACATTATATGCCCCTCGATCATTATCTAGCTCTTTTCGCTGACTGGAACATAAAGCGGAGTATGCTCGAGCGTCTGGCTACCAACCTGAGGGGCGGCGGCCTTGGAGTTGGAATTGATGATATTGCTTCTCCTGGTGAACATCGCACTATTGTTATCGATGATAATTGCTCGGTATGTCTGGATATCTTGCTGATTTGCGGAAATAATACTAACCATTCGACAGGTGATGTAAAAGATGAAGGTCCGGATATCTCCAGAGTTGGATTGCACAGTGTCAAAAAAAGGCCGGTGTTTCATAGCATACATTTATTGTTATAGCAACACACTCTCTCTAATTCATGTGCTTCCACAGTCGCACCTTTCCTATATGTTTTATATATTCAAGTACATTCCCTTTCTAAAGTCAAACACTTTCAAAACACCATCCCTCCCCTCCCCTAACCACGACCTGACACCAAATCTTATAGTTTCCACATCTCACAATAGGAAATCCCCTTTCTTCGACATGAGAGATCCTCCTGTTCATTCAAACGGCGGGTAGGCCTTAAGAAGAGCGCTTTTTGGCCAACTCTAAGGCATACGGTGGGGTTAAAGGTTGCATTGTCAGAGATAGAAGCAGAAGTCCATCGACTTGTGGACTCAGGGCTTGACCTCGCGAGAGTAAATTCAAATTGCCATATCAGTGAGGTCGAGTTCATCATGACCGACGATCACCGTGGAAGAATGAGGACATTGGAAGTGATTCTTCGAAATGTCACTTTCATTGCGCGCCTTGGATGGCCAGAGCCCGCTCATCGGCGCTCTGTCAGCGCAGCAAATCGAATACAAAAGGCTACGCGCAAACACCCATCATGCGCTAGAGACCGATCGATTATTTTTGCTGCCTCAGAAGGATCCATCCTGCACAGCGATATATGTACCACTGCATCTGTGACTTGAGCAATTTGCTACCAAGATACGTACTCAGTAAGTCTCATTGATGAACCCAAGTTACAAATGAATCAACTAACAATTCGAGCAGACTCCCTGGCCGAGAAATGGGGGTTCTTTCTGGGAATTCCCCAAGCATCGTTTCCCTCCATTTCATTTTCATCATATTGCAAGGCTGGTACAGCAAAAATCGAAGCAAGAAGACACTGACCGTGGGTGGCCTGGAGAGAGGGATGGGGGAAGTTGGGGGTGTGATATTGCTGATGAGCCTATCTCGGGGCGAGATCTTTCCATGGACCGGTGGCTGTTACCGGCACCCGACCAAGTGAGAACAACATATTTAGCGGTTCTGTATAATAGTCAGCCGGGATTCTTAGCAATACAGAGAAAATCCTTGTTGGAGGTATTACATAGCTACCCTCATGGTCTATCCCAACATTTGGGAAGACTTGGTAGAAAGAAGCTTGTAAATCTCGAGCGAGAGACGAAAACTAAGCTGAAAGTTGTGGATCGCTCGCAAGAATTATTCTATGTTCAAGTGTTTGAAGCTCCTACTATCGCCATTTAGACTTATTATACTTCTATATAGTCTAAATAACCGAGAGAATCCTCTCGGTCTGTAGCCGGCTATTCTTGTCTTTGTCAGTCCAATTCTGGCCAAGATCCCGCTATCCTGACTGATTCTTTGCTGTCCCTGTAACACCACGTATACCCTAGTTCCTGTTGTCTCCATATTTAACGAAATTTCCATCTTTCACCAAGGTTACTAGTCCTGTGGACAACCTCCATTGCAGCGAACTATATATTCACGTGACCGTTCTTATCGTAGAAATTTTTGCGATAAAAAAGAACTTGCCCGCACGAATATCGTCGATCTACAGAGGGGCAGATCACCAACTTCATTTATAAAAGTTTAAGATCAATTGATATTGTGTCAATGCCCTATATTTAGCTGCTGAAGTCTACAGCTTGATCTCTCTACCAACCCAGATCTGCCAACCTGATATCACATCTTGATATCGATTTATACTGCCCTTTTGGCTGCCAAAGACCAAAGGTGTATAAAAACGTGTTACATCCTTGGAAACAAGAAGAGTAGACACATCACACATCATGTCTCAATCACAATTGCTCCAAGCTCGCAATGAGACAACCATTAGGCTCTATGCAGACCCTCACAACCCCCACCTCCATCTTGAACGAGGCCTTCAGTATGAAAAGCTGGGCTTCCCTGATCTCGCCTCGGCAGATGCATACCGCGCGCTGGCACTGCTAGAGTCGGTGGTTGACCCAGATGAATGCGAGTTCCATGCCAGACGGAAGGTAGACCCTTCCCAGCAGGCTCCCGAGAAAGCGGCGAACGAATCAGATGATGAAGACGAAGACGAAGACGACAACACTGTGCCCATCACCCAAGAGGAATACGATAGCATCATTGACCAGGTGTATGTCCTGCTAGTACGCAGTCTCGTCCGCTGCGGCTGTTACCGCGATGCATTCGAGTTCGGATTGCGCGGCTTAGCCCTTCTGGAAAAGAGATCCGCAACAGCCTCAGTAGCTACACTGAACGCGCAAATGGATCGCGTGAAGCAAATTTACAAATCCCGCACTGGCGCTGAAACCGAAAATATCGACCTGGACTCAATCGACCCCAGTGTCCTCCCCTCACAAGGGTTTGCCCGCCGTGTCCTTTATCCCTGGAACGAGCACGAGCCCGACCGCCGTTCACCAGAGACTCTCAAATTGCTCAACGAGCGACTGGCAGTCATCGCGCCGAAGTGTGAAGTCCGCGCAGTAGCCTTGCCAGTACTACACGCCTCAGCAGACGACGACTCGAGCATGGAAGTCTCCGTGCAGCTCGGCCTCTTCGCGAAAGAAGATATCGCCCCAGACGAGATCATCCTCCGCGAGTCATCACTGCTCACAGCAACCAACCGTCTCCACGACGATCTCTGCGACGCATGCAACGCGCCACTCCCAGAACTCTCCGCCGCCGAGCCTCCCGTCGCCTGCGAGGGCGGCTGCGTAGACATCATCTTCTGCAGTCAGAAATGCCACGACACAGCGCAAGAGGTATATCACGGCGCGATCTGCGGTCTCGAGGACGGCCTCGACTCCATCGGGAAGGATGTCCCCGATCCCAAGGATAAGGCCGATTACCTGTACCTTCTTCTGCTGGGCAGAGCGCTTGCCATGTCCGCCACACAGGACAAACACGCGCTCGACCTGCCCGAGGTGAAGTACATCTGGGGTGATTTCCACGATTTCGATATTGAGTCTGTCTCCGCGGAAGCAGAGACAATGCCCGCAACAGACGATACCGCCACTCTCCCCTTCTCGTTCCAGCTTAATGTCCTGCAGCCGGAGCGTTTCCTCGATGAAATGGGTTTGGATCCCTACGCCGAGCTCTACCGCTACGATACATGGGTTCTGAATACGCTGTTTGCTAAGTTCCGCGGTACGGCGTCGGGTCGGCTGTCGACTTGGGATGGAGGTCCGGAGTTGTGTGCTGTTCACCCGCTGTGGTGTCTTGCGAATCATTCGTGTGATCCTAATGTGACCTGGGAATGGAGTAGTGAGATTAATTTCCGCGCGCGGAAAGACGATGAGACGGCTGTTTGGTCGCGCGGGACTGAGATGAAGGAGCTCAGGCCTGGGGGTATTGCGAAGGACTCGGAGATCTTGAATCATTATTGTGATATTGGGTTGCCGGTTCAGAAGAGAAGGGAATGGGCTGCTGGGGCTTTGGGTGGGACTTGTTTGTGTGATAGATGTGTTTGGGAGGCTGGTGAGGTTGAGTAGGTTCGTATTTATGGGTTGATGTATAGATCGACTTGATAGATCATGATGAGATACCCTTTTTACTGCATTAAGTGAGAATCATGCCAATGGCTCCTAGAAATCAAACAATTATTACATGAGGAATACAAGATAGTCTATCTGAACGTGTTTGTTTTAACATCCATGAAATGGAATCCCGAAAAGCGTGGGTACACCGTGATCGATTTGCTCCTAACGAATCCCCATAAGTTTCAAATTCCAGGCACCGGATCGAATAAAACAAGTACAACGTCGTATTTTCGCTCCAAATACGCATTATTTCATTATCAACAGTAACATACGAACCGTTCAGCCAACCCCCAAGTCAGGATCAAAGCATCAGAGGCGACCGTTTTATCTGCGCCGAGGTGGTGTCCGCGAATAGCTTCGACCCCGTGATTCAGCCCGACGCTTAGGAGCAGGCGAGCGGGAGCGGGAGACGGAGTCTGCTCCCCCGCGTCGTCGGCGGGGAGGGGGCGACACAGATTCAGACGAGTATCGCTTCGCACTTCTGGACGTCGCACTTCTGGGCGCGGGCTCACGACGAGGTGCAGGTGAGACAGACCGGGAAATTGATCTGGAGTAGCTGCGGTTTCTCCGGCTGGGGGGCTTTGGCCTCGGCGCGGCGGGGTGACAGACCGAGTGACCGAGCGACGAGATCGATAGGGACTGCGACTTGGGCTTCGCGAGTCATAGGAGCGGGAACGTGCTTTACTGCGCTTGGCCGGTGTGCGGGAGACGGATCGGGATCGGGATCGTCCTGCGGGGCTCCGGGACCGACTGATTGATGTGTCACGACGGCGACGGACTGGGGACCGAGAGCGCGAAGGTGTGTAGCTTCGGCCCCGGGAAGAGGGAGTGATGGAGCGAGAGTAGGAGCGGGAGTAGGAGCGGCCGCGGTCCCTAGAAGGAGAGCGGGAGTACGAAGGCGACCGGGAACGGCGGGAGTGAGGAGATCCAGTGCATGTTGAGCACATCGAACGCGAACGGGAACGATCAGATGGGGTGCGCGACAGAGATCGAGAGGCCCGTGCAGGCAAAGCGGGCACTGTGGGACGGGGAAGGTTTTTGAGGTTCTCACGCATGTCCTCTGTCAATACACCCATACCGATACTGGTGAAGTAATTGACAGAGAACCTAGTGTGGCGTGGGTTCTCCGTCGGGAAGAGACCCTCGAAGCTTGGTCGCAGGATCTCATCCCTGAAGCGGGCCTGCAGTCCAGGCAGACCGAGGTTCTCTGCGAGGTTTTGGAACAGGATTTTGATGAAGATACGGCTGCTGGATGTGGTCTCCTCTTCGTTGAGATGAACCACAGAGAGGACATGCCAACCAATCGCATCGTTGCTGAGGAGGTGACCGAAGAACTGGGCAATGTTGCGCAATTTGTTTGTTTCGTAACGATGGATGGTATCGTAGTATTTGGCAAAGGCAGCCTCAAACAGGTCTGACCAGAGTCGGTTGATCTTGGCGAATCGCTCTCCGATCAGGCCATAGAATTTGGAGTATGTCCGTTCCTGGGAGCAACATTCAATGACCATGGATGGAAGTTCATGCTCCAACCCGACCGGCAGGTTGATCTTCATCAGCTTGTGGCAACATTCTTCGAAATCAATGCTGGACATGATGGTGAGGTAGATTGTTCGTCGAAGGTTGACTAGATCAGTATTACTCTGATCCTTGATATCCATCTGCACTTCTTCCGTATCAGATTCTTCCTCTTCGCTTTCATCCGACCCATCCTCATTATCATCGTCGCTCTCCTCGCCCAAGATCTCAGCTTTTAATTTCTTATAAGCCTCCTCGTGCTCCTCCCACTCCGGGTCGTACTTGAAGATATTGAGGGTGTCTTGAGTTTCCAGCTCATCATCCAAGCCGGCACGGTGTGTGATCTGATCTTCCTCTTCCACCAAGTCCAACTCCTCCTTGATTGCTGGGTTGTCCTTGTACCGATCCTTGCGCACCTGGAAGAGCACTTCGATCATATATTGTACACGCTTATCAATATCGGCCTCGTGTAGAATGTTTCGGAACTGGTCGAATACGGCAAGTGCGATAGGAGCATTCATCTCCTCCAGATGCTGACCAACTTCTCGAGTGAGACCCACAGCAATTTCCACGCTGTCGTCCGTTGGCTTGTGCAAAAGAAGCAACAGGATCTGAGCTGCCAGCATCTCGTGGGCGACT